TTTGCAGGTTGCAGGCATTTGGTGTGCGAAACTACACTAGAGGGTGCCTACTACTCACTTGGCATGTGGAAGTTTTACACGGTAATCAAAAGTGGCACTCCGAGAGATTACTGCCAGTATATGCTTATCGTCAGTTAGTTCCGAAGAGTAACAGGAAAATAACAAGACGATGATAGTTTTCGATATAAGCGAAGAGACGAGTCCCAGAGAAGTCACAAGGCGAAGACAGTGGTCGACATCACTGACCCCATTAGTAGCCGTGGTTTTACGCGGAAATCAGTGTTTGAAAGGGGGTATCAGTACAGTCTACCAACATATTTCAGGCAGACAGTTTATTTATCGCAGTAGAACTGCGATCGTCGATTTTACGCAGGCAAAGCAGTCTACTGACTTCCCTCTCACGCAAATACCTGTAGCAGGCGTCACTAGATTGCTATTCTTTGTACTTTTCCTCAGTCACATCGACGCTACTCACGTCCCTCGAGCACAAGTTATAGTTCGTTGTCGTTTACAGAAGTAACTTGATGTATAAGATACTCTGTGAAGCGTTTTCTTCCAGGTCAGGTTTTGGTCTGGTCGTCGTGAAAGACGATGCCCGCCGTGTGTTCCACAGCAGGTTGGTAACGGGGACGGTTACTTGCGTATGCGTTATTTTCTTGTGATAGAAGACTTGCACAGCATCTGCCGTACTTCCTCCGCCCTCACCCCCCCCCCCACCTGGGCCTCTATGCGAGAGAGTGTGAAGGAACCAACAGGCGGGGTCGGGGGCAGCGACTTGGAGGGCTATGCAGCCCGTCTACGCGTGCCACGCACGCCCGGTCGGCGCACAGAGTACCAGGATTTCACGGGAGCACTAAAGGAGCGATTTGGGTTCCAATTAACTGACAGCGCCCTGGAGGCCACATTGAGAAGAAGCTATTGCAACCTGACGTTCCGTCCTCCGGGAGGGGGGAGGGGAGGGGGCGAGTTATCCCGCCAGTTGGCAGTCTTCCTAACCACAACTTTTGGCGCACTGTGATAACTTAGCGGCGCATCAGATAGTTTATAGTGAGGAATACGTTCTGAGTATGCTGAGCCAAACGTACTCTCTCTTCCCTCTCCGAGCCAAGAGCCTACCGTACGAGACGATCAGGCGCCTGAACTAGAGAGTCCGTCTACGCGGGCCACACATACACACGCACACACACCGCACTACAAATCAGGCCTTTGCACTAGGGAGTGACAGTTCCGGATCACAGATGCACTTGTTCACCCTGGTCTACATAACGAATACGCAATTTTCCAAGAACGAGCGGAATAAATAAAACACTCATCGCAATCCTCTCAGGAAAATGTGGTGTAAATTAAATAGGCTTTAAAATCTAACGAGACAGCGAAGAGTACTTAAACCGATTTCGCCTAAGAGTGTGGTTTACTAAACAGGCAGACAGAAAGTCGCTCAAAGAAGAATCGGCACTTCAACACTTCCTGTCAAGCACCATAGAAACCACACGGCGACAATGATTTCCCACTTGTAGACAGGCTCAGTGACACAGTCGACGCCTCATGATCC